CCCCAAAACCCCAAAACCCCTTAAGATCTAAATACACAATAATTAAAAAATTTTCAAATTTATACAATTTAATAATACTTTAAAGTATTCGATATTAGGGTGAATGTTATAGTTTAAAAGCCGTTTTAATTAATCAATTTTTCTTTTTAGTCATGTTCATAGCATAAATCGGATATTAAACAAGCATTCCACAAGCGTATAGAATAATAGTTGCTCCAAAATAAAAATAGAATACAGGATCAATCTTATCAATATAAGCGTACTATCTTTAAATGTCAAGATTAAAAGGATTAGGATATCCAGGAATCACTTATCCAATACCAACTGGTATCAAGAACGATCCAATCATACAAACGGAATGTATCAGTAATCTTTATCTTTGAGGTATGCTAATTACTGACTTCAATAAACCAAGGCCACCACATATGATCCAAAATGCTAAATTTGAACCTACTAAGTAAATTCCACATAGATAAAATAAAACTCCCATCATAAAGCCACTGTAAAAAACAATAATAAATGATCCCAATTTTTTAAGTCTCACGACAACAAATCCAATTATCATTCCGAATAAAAGAGATGTAAAGAGGATGACCCAGCCAACCCAAGTCTTTGAATTATCATTAATCAGCACGGAATATAAAAATATCCAGATTATCCAAACAGGTATGAAAAGCCCACCGATAAACAGAGAGATATTTATGTATTTGTAGCCAAAAAAGCAAAAGAAAATTCCAATCATACCTATTAGCAGCATCAAAGCTACTGCATTATTATCGAACCACCACCAGAATTCTCCAAATCTGTCTGTAGCACAACCCAATCCTAGAGAAATAATCATCTACCTTGTGCAGTGATTAATTACAGTTTCTTATTAAACATAAGGGTCTGTTATTATTGCTTCGCAGTGAATTTATAAAATAAAAATAGGTTCATTCACGCATTCTATTATGCTCTCGTTACTAGCAAAATTCTTTATGAAATGATAATAATCTTACTAGCTGTAAAAATATACAAACAAATCTTTATTAGTGCCTTAAGGACTGATTTCAAGCTTATCTACTCGATTACCAATATCCTCTAAGATGTTATACGTATAATAAGGATAATCATGCTCTTAACCTATAGTATTTCTCAGTGCCATAGTATAATTTAAACCAGCATTGTTAGTTTCACTCAAATACCCACAGAGATTTACCGCGTAGGTAGTAGTAGAATAATAGTTGCCTGATATTATTTTCAAATCGTGGCGTTCTCTGCATAAAGTAATATTGTAATTAATATAATTTAAATTACTTACAAATCTCTAAAGTATTGATTTAAATCATAAAAATTGGTTCTGTGCCTAAACTTGCATCTGTCTTCAAAATCTTTACTGCTTGGGTAGATAGGAAACTTATAAGTAGAATTAGTATTTTGCTCAGCTAAAGGCAATTCTAAAGTATTATACGAATAGAAAGTAATGTAAAGTAGTATCAGAATTATTTTTAGTTTTTGGGTCATTTACAGTGGATTATTGAATTAAATTATATACCCTTGTATAAATTCTAAATTTACACGTGGGGTTTTGGGGTTTTGGGGTTTTGGGG